CACACACACACACACTCACACACACACACACACACACACACACATCAAGGTTCCCAACATTCTCACACACGAGTGGCTGCTCCCCACACATCCAACACACTCTTCCCAGCATTCCCTCACTCTCTTCACATTCGCCTTCCTATCACAAGTTAGTGTCACTGCCCCACACAACCTAAGTGGGAAATGGCAGCCCACTCCAGTATTCCTGCCTGGAGAATCCCATGGACGGAGGAGCCGGGAGGGCTACAGTGCACAGGGTCGCAAAGAGTCAGACATGACTGAGCAGCTAACACAGTCACTCCTCTCTCCCACCCTCCTCTCACACATACCCTCTCTCTGTCTCTCTTTCACACACACACAGTCACACTGACCAGTTAGTCCCAAGATACTGGGCCTTCCAGCTGCCCCAAAGCCACACACAGCTCGGGTGGTTCTGGGAAGGTGCTGGCTGCCAGGACTCCGCCCCAGGACTGAGCCAGGAATTTTAGGTCTCTGTCTGGGTCCTACCTGGAAAGGTGCCTTCTCCTTTTTAATGCTCCAGCCCCATATCTAAAACTACTCACCAAACATGCTCCTACTGGTATACAGCCCCGAGTCCACACAGTCACCTTCATGCATTAATCAACCTAAAATGAATGTTTGTGTATTGTGCTAAATAGAAATCCTCTTTTAGTTACAGGATTAGCCAGCTCTCCCGTTGTCAAGTATTGATCAGTGTTCCTTCGCTGGCATTTCTTATCCCGTCTACTAGGTGTCATGTTTCTAGACGTCCCTGGGTCTGTTTCTTGGCTCTTTTCTAAAACTGCTCTCCTGCCTTCCTTCTTGCTCACCAGTTCCCTTTGCGCTGGGAATGCCACCTAAGGCCCCTCAAGCTTGCTTGGGACAGTGAAGTGTTCATAAAAAATTACCACAAACTCTATGGCGTGAAACAAACAAAATTTATTCTTTCAAGGTTGTGAGGGTTAGAAGTTAGAAATCAAGGTATCAGTAGGGCCCTCTCTGAAGGCTCTAAGGGAGGCTCCATCTTTTCTCTTCCTGACTACTGGTGGTTGCATGGAAAAGGAAATGGCAACCCACCCAGTATTCTTGCCTGGAGAATCCCATGGACAGAGGAGCCTGGTGGGCTGCAGTCCATGGGGCCGCAAAGAGGCGGACACGATCGAGGTACCGTGCACAGCTCTGCTGGTTCCCGGAAACCCTTGGCGTTGCGAAACTAATGTCTATTTCTATCCTTCTATGACACTCTTCTCGGGTGTCCTATTTTCCTGTATCCGTTTCTTCTTTGCTTGTCCACATTTCTTTCTCCTGGTAAAGGAACCAGTCACTGGATTAGAGCCCACCCTAATCCACCCTGACCTCACCTTGGTTGGATTACATCTGCACAGGCCCTATTTCCAGGTGAGGCCTCCTTCACCTAATAGTAAGCCCCTAAAATAAAGGACTTTCAATAAACATTCATGTGATTCTCTTTGGGCAAAAAAGGTACAACCTATAATTGAATTCTCTGCATCATTGAATATATTCCTGACCGGAGAAAACTTCAAGTTTGTCCAGAAATTAGTGAAAACTGAAAGGTTAAAATTTTTTCTGATGTTGTCTTCCTCTCGTCCTGGTATGAATGTATGAGCTCAAACATCCTCTTGGTTTGAGCGTTGTTTTAGGTGTTTCTGAGGTCAGCAGTGTTCTCTGTTAGCCAGTTCAGTGCACGCCCGCCCCAATTTCACCCCATAGGAAGAGACGTCTGATGGAAAGATAGAACTGGAAGTCTTAACTAACCGTGAGCAAATATTTGACTTTTGCAAATCCTCAAAATGACCAAGCAATACATCTTAAGGTGCCATCAACAGTCATGGACAGTGAAGGAATTCTTAAGCATGAGCTTCTTTAGCGTCTTGTAAAACCCCACTCTGCGTAGAAGGTCGTGTATTAGATCAACAGCCAGACTGTCATCAAGGGTCAGCTCTTGCCACCCAGAGTTGGTTTAACATTGTACCTTCTCATAGTCCAGGAAGAAACATCCAGATGATGGAATAGCTGTTAGAACATTGGGGAAAATGTTGAGCTAGATAATGCTATCATCAGAGAGCAAAAGGATTTTTTTATCAAAGGGCTGGGAAAGCCTGAGTAAGATCTCAGGACAATATCCTACCCCACCACGGCTACATCTGGTACCCGGTGCCCCCACAGGAGAAGACACTTGTCTTCATCCCCACTCCCACTGCACTGTCCTGCTGCCCACACCAGCCTCTTCTACCCCAACAACAGAGTGGTTCCCAACCCTACAGGGAAGTGTGGGGGCCCAAGACAAAGACAGAACATCATCTAGGTAAATATGGGTCCAGTGGACAGGGCCTTGGTGAGACCTGAGGCTCACCTCTCCCAAGTCCTGACTAGAACAAACCTGCCTTGGAGCCAGAGGCCAGCTGGCTTCTTACCTGCTGTGGTCCCTGATTTCTTCATAAGATTCATGATGATGAAGCAATTACAACTAACTGGGTGAAGATCAATAGAAAAATGCAAGCGACCAATCGGATGGATGCAGACTGGCTGATATCTGGGGCCATTATTAGTGGTTCTAAAATGAAAACGGAAAAGGCTTGTCAAATCTAAGAATACACCTTGCTCAGCACCTGCTGTCCTTAGACAGCACATGTTCCTCATATAGTTACCGACTCACGTGAAGCCACTCTTCACGTCCGGCTGTGGAAAGATAAATGGGCTTATACTCTGTCTTTGTGGAGCTGATATTTCTCCTGAGTTGTGTTAGTCGCTCAGTCATGTCCGACCCTTTGCAAGCTCATGGACTGTAGCCCACCAGGCTCCTCTGTCCATGGGATTCTCCAGGCAAGAATACTCGAGTGGGTTGCCTTTTCCTACTCCAGGGGATCTTCCCAACCCAGTGATGGAACCTGGGTCTCCTGCCTTACGGGCAGATTCTTTACCGTCTGAGTCACTGAGACACAAATGTCCATCTGATTATCTTTCAGGTAGACATGTTTACTGTGAGGAGTCCTTTTTGAGGAGGACACAATTGGGGGTACTTAATTCTGTCTGGGATGGGATAAGGGCTTCATTAAGTGACATTGGAGCTGGTTAAAGGATCAGTACAACAGGGGGAGAGAAGCCCTGGAAACAATGCGTATATAGATTTGGGGACCATCGAGCAGTGCCAGGGGACTGTGTCATTGGTTAATGAGGAAGGGGGCTCCTGTGCTGAGGAAGGTGGGCTGGGAAGGAGGGTGCTGGCAAGTTCTGTGCTATGCCCATCACTGACTCTCCAGACAGGAAGTCCACCAAAGATCAGTTGTTCTCTCCATCCATCATATTTTCAGTTGCACAAACATATGTGCTCATATCCACACATGAAGGCACTAGACCGTTGAAGAGAGCTACCACCTCCCCCACACCCCACTCAGTTACCTGCGGGCTCTGGGAGCAGCATGTTCTCCCAGTGTTCCAGGAATTCCCTAAGCCAATAACTGCAGTCTCCCACTGAGATCTTCCTGAGATACTCTGCCAGTTCCTGGTTGTGCCCCCACGCCCCCTTGATCACTGTGGCTCCAGGATCGATGACTGTCCAGGTTATGCTCATGGGGTCAAGGAGGAGGGCTGTCCGTCCATTGAGGCTGAAGAGCAAGGATGCACCAGAGCATTGCCCGGCTTCACGCTGACAACACAGCCTGACCTGCAGGGAGGGAGGACCTGCCCCGCACACACAGTGAATCTTTCTGGATGTCCACAGTCCATCCTCCCCAGTCACTCAAGTGTGTCTGCACATCTAGGGGCCGTGATCTTCGGACCATGACCTCCCCCTCTTACCCATCAGGTCCAGCGGGTCTCTAAGGCTGGATCATGTTCAGTCTTTTCACAGGAAGGACCTCCCTGCATGCACTCCAGCCCTACCCCTCTCTTGCTGTCTCCAGCTCCCCACCCCCCTCCCATATTACCTCCTGTCTCCTTTTTGTCCAGTTTGATCACAGGCAGGACCATCCTGAGCTCTCTTCCTGCTTCTCCCAGCGTTTGGCTCAATTCAGTCCACGCTTTGGTGTTGTTTACCTCCTCCCCCAAGAAACCCAAAGGTCTGACCTTGTTGCTGTCACTGTCACACTGGAGGAAAGGCTTTGTGTCCACGGAGCCCTGGACGTGACACCAGGGCTGGCCCGGTCTGGACTGAGATTTGACAGTGAGGTTGAGGCACAGAGAGTGGGCATCTGAGACAGAAAACCACAGGTGTGTCTGGGAGATTCCCCTCCAGGGTCTGGTTGCAGAGGGAGGGGTCTCTATCCCAGACCCCCTCCTCTGCTGCATCCTCAGTCCTGCCTCACCTTTAACTGTCTGAGCTTAATTAAACAATTTGATGCCACCGTGGATCTCTTCCATCCATATACTATCAGCAGGAAGATTTCTCTGATATATGATGGCTCACGCAGTAAAGAATATGCCTGCAATGCAGGAGACCTGGGTTTAAGCCCCTGGAGATGGAAACGGAAACCCACTCCAGTATTCTTGCCTGGAGAATGGACAGAAGAGCCTGGCAGACTACAGTCTGGCGTAGGGTGGCAAAGAATCAGACATACCTACGTGACTAAGCAGGCACACGCCAGCTTCTGAGGTAGCAAAAACAGAAGACAGTGTCTGCTTTCTAGAGACTTAAAATCTATCTGAACAGACAAGACTTTCAACAGAAGGAGAAGAAAGATGCCATAGGACACATGCCACATTCACGATGGGTCCCTAGGCATCAGGAAAGTTTTACTGGAGTAGGAGGTGGGACTTGCCAGGAGAGGGAAAGCTGCTCCAGGAGCATAGGCCCAGGCACGCTACCTTGGGCGGGGTCCCAGAAGGCAGGGTGTCACCTCCTGGGCAGTCAGTCCAGCTAAACCACATCTTCACCATCCTAAGAGCAGGTGGACAGGCGCCCACCAGGGTGGAGCCCCTTCCCTCCCCATTTTCTCATGTCCCCCACTCCCCCGGCAGAGCCCCAGATCCAGGACACTCACTGCCCAGAGTCTTCCCAGCTTCGGTCAGCAGCAGTATCAGCAAAAGATGACCTGTGGTGTGAGCCAGTGACTTTCCTCCCTGCAGTTTTAGGAGCATGACGGGAAAAGGTAGCCTGGGGTGTGTCTATACCTCTGCCTCCTGGCACCGCCCAAAGTCTTCAGCCCTAGGCTGAGGAAGCCGTGCTGAAAAACAAGAAAAATAACACTTATGCCCAGGAAGTATTTCTTAAGTTTCAAATGTAATTACTCATTTAAAAAAAATAGTCATGACATTACAAAGCCAAATTCACTTTGAATAGCTATCCTCCCTCCAAAAAAGCCCTTTTCTGGTGTGAGCAAGAAAAGCCCACCTTTTGTTGGCTCTCCTGCTCACTCCATGAGCCACTTCCTCCTCTGATCTTTCTTTGAACTCACTTCCTCCCTCACCCCCACCCCACCGCCGCTGCCATCTCCTGCTCAGTTATTCCTTCTTTTCTCCTACATCCACTTTCCATCCTAACCTCTCAAACTTTCTCTGTGATGATTACGATTCACTGCATGTTAGTCACTCAGTCGTGTCCGACTCTGCGACCCCACGGACTGTGTAGCCCGCCGCTCCTCTGTCCATGGGATCCTCCAGGCAAGAATACTGGAGTGGGTTGTCATTCCCTTCTGTTAATCAACCAAGCAGCGGCCGACCCCCCCCGCCCCCGCCAGGTCTGCCGTATCAGAGGAGGGTGTACAACAGAGTCCGATAGTTCTGTTGGAGCCGAGCTCCAGAATAGCCGCGAATTTATTACCGTTTGCTCACCCGCAAGTTGCAAGGCCTCTTAGGGCCCGGGAAGAGCAAGCTTACCGCCGAACACTGACGGATTTTCCCGTCAAGCAGCCGCGGCCCCTCCCGCCTTTCCCAGCCCCTCCCCTGCGCTAGGCGTCTCCCGCAGGGTGTCAGCCGCGCACGTGGCTCAACCCCGCGGTCTCCGGGCTGCTGGCTTCGGGGTGGCGGGAGAAGACAGAACATTTTGGGGGGGCCCGCCCTGGGTTCATACTCACCTCCCACTCCTCCGCACCCGGCTCCTGCGATCGGCGGGGCGCGGTCCTCGCCTGCCTGGTGCAGCCAAGGTCGCTTTCGCGCAGGTTGAGACTGTCGAGTTCGCAATCACAGAGAAGTTCCGAAACTCTCCTCGGGGTTTTCTGTTTGAATCACTCTTCGGGGCCGCGGCTCGGGGGAAGCTCGGCCGGCTGCTTTTGGAGTGGCTTTGCTAGTGCGGGGGATCCCCGGGCGGGCGCGGAAGAGGGGCCCCGGGCCGAGGTTCTGCTCTCGGGTAACCGCGCCCCCAGGAGGCCCACCCGGGCGGTGAGTGAGTCTCTGTAAAGAAGTGCCCCGGGTCGGGGGGTGATGACGAGGCTTTTTCCGGGTGTCAGTCTGGGCGCCGCCGCGGTGACTTCGGGGACCTGGGACCTGGGACGGGGGCCGGCCAAGGAGCCACCGGCGACTTCTAGGTCCTGCCAGGGCGAGTTTCCGGGCGCTCGGGCCCCGCCCCTCTCTTCTCTACCAGCCTATCCTGAGTTTCCTAAAGCGATTCTTCCCTGGTCACCTGACCAGCTGCCCCAAGTCAGTCCTTCATGGATGGCATTCCTTATAAGCGCAGCTCAGTTAGAACTGAACATGAACAACAGACAGGTTCCAAGTAGCAAAAGGAGTACATCAAGGCTGTATATCGTCACCCTGCTTATTTAACTTGTATGCAGAGTACATCATGAGAAACGCTGGGCTGGAAGGAAGCACAAGCTGGAATCGAGATTGCCGGGAGAAATATCAATAACCTCAGATATGCAGATACCACCACCCTTATGGCAGAAAGTGAAGAACTAAAGAGCCTCTTAATGAAAGTGAAAGAGGAGACTGAAAAAGTTGGCTCAACATTCAGAAAACTAAGATCATGGCATCCGGTCCCATCATTTCATGGCAAATAGATGGGGAAACAGTGGAAACAGTGGCTGACTTTATTTTTCTGGGCTCCAAAATCACTGCAGATGGTGATTGCAGCCCTGAAATTAAAAGACGCTTACTCCTTGGAAGGAAAGTTATGACCAACCTAGACAGCATTATTAAAAAGCAGAGACATTACTTTGTCAACAGAGGTCTGTCTAGTCAAGGCTATGGTTTTTCCAGTGGTCATGTATGGATGGGAGAGCTGGACTATAAAGAAAGCTGAGTGCTGAAGAATTGATGCTTTTGAACTGTGGTGTTGGAGAAGACTCTCGAGAGTCCCTTGGACTGCAAGGAGATCCAACCAGTCCATCCTAAAGGAGATCAGTCCTGGGTGTTCTTTGGTAGGACTGATGTTGAAGCTGAAACTCCAGTCCTTTGGCCACCTGATGCGAAGAGCTGACTCATTTGAAAAGACTCTGATGCTGGGAAAGATTGAGGGCAGGAGAAGGGGACGACAGAGGATGAGTGCCGGGAGCCAACACAGGAGACCCTACCCCTAACAAGGCCGTAAGGGAGAAAACCTGACGGGCAAGGCGGATCAGGTTTTCAGGGGTTTCGAAAAGCTGCCCCCGGCGCTCACCTTAAATATGATATCTGTCTTTCTGATGCCTGCCTCAATGGACTCTGACACAGGCAGGATAGGCCTTCCCCGATCTCTTCCCAAATAAGAATCAATTTAGAACTTTAATCAATAAGTTTCCCAGGTGGTGGTATTTTATGAGATTATTCAGGGTGAAAGGAGTGTTTTAATTCAAACTCCTTTGCTGGTAGTTTGTTAGCCAAATGCATTTATGCACTTGGTACTAATATGCATGATTGCTTATAATATCCTAATCATAAAATAGCATAAAGAACCTGATTATATAAAAGCCCTAATAGATATAGAGCCCTTTTAAGGGGTAAAGGAGTCCTATTAGAAAACATAAGAAAAATTATTCTATAGGTGGTTATTGGGTTGTGATTTGCTTGCTGTGTTTTTGCTTTTAATGTGCTAAGGTTGTGTTATAAAAACAATTGTTAATATAGTTAAAGATCTAGAGAAATAAGAACTTAGACCTAGTGTGGTAACAATGAGATGGTTGTTAATTGTGCTAGGCAGAAGCTGCCTCACCAAAGTCACAGAGTCAGTATGGGGTAAACTTCTTAGATAAACGCAACTGACAACTTTTGCAGAAAGATTAATTTTTGTATTAACAAGAATATAATTCTACTCTGTACTATTTCCCTATGACCCTGTTACCTTTCAGTTAAGGTCACCATAAAAACAAAATAGGTTTACAATCACCTGACCTGCATAAAATGTTAATAGCCCCAAGGCCAGAAGATCATGTGCTAAGAATTACTATAGAATTAGAAAGCAAAAAAATCCTGCTTTTCCTAAAAATCAAAATGATGTAATACTAATCCTGTGTAATCATGAATAAGCACCTTGTACCTTGAAAACGTTCTGTGGAAGGGTATAAAACCGGTTGTCAAAAAGTAAAACACAGACTTGGCCCTATCAAGGCTGGTCTCACATGTCTTCTCTCTCTCTGTCTCGCCGATGCCGTTCATCCTGAGGGTACCCCCTGGATCCTGCCGAGGCTGGACCCCAGCAGATGAGATGGTTGGATGACATCACCGACTCAATGGACATGGTTTGGGTGGACTCCGGGAGTTGGTGATGGATAGGGAGGCCTGGCGTGCTGTGGTTCATGGGGTCGCAAAGAATTGGACATGACTGAGTGACTGAACTGAACTGAAATAAATAGATGAGCTAAATAAAATACATGGCAGCATGCCGTTTGTTCTTCCGACCCTTCCGTTACTCCCACCACCCTTCTAGGTGGTCTGTGATCAAGTCTGGGACAAGTTAGAGGGCACAGGGCACCACCCCACCTCGCTAGGGACAGCCCCTCTCTGCTCCTCCCCCACAGTTGGTTCCACGTTCACCTTGAACCTCTAGGGTCTGAGGGACAGGGTCGTCCCCGTCACCCCTCACTTCACACTGCCTCCCACACTGATTGTCTGTTGTGTACTGGTTTGATCTCATTTCAAATCCACTTGTTTTTTACTTAAATGAAGTTGTACTCCTTGTTTATGACTTAAATGAAATGTTCTAGTCCACTTGTTTATAACAAAAACAAAAAAGTTAGTTTTTTATGGTAAAGTTATTATGAGACTAGAATGATGTAAGATGTGACAGAGTGTTTAGATCACCTGCCCTGGGTCCTTGCTGGGAGCTTGTCCAGAGAACACACACATTATGGAGTGTGAGCTCTTTATTCTAGATGCCAGTCACTCACCAGATATATGTGTGCTGGTTCTTGTGTTCAGTCGCTCGGTTGTATTCGATTCTGTGATGCTATGGACTGTAGACCATCAGGCTCCACTATCCATGGGATTTGCCAAGGCAAGAATACTGGAGTGAGTTGCTATGTCCTCCTCCAGGGAATCTTCCTAATCCAGGATCGAACTCGTGTCTTCTGGATTGGCAGGCGTATTGTTTACCAATGAGCCACCTGGGAAGCCCTACCAAACACATGACTTGCAAATATCTTCTCTCATTCTAGATAGTTTTTGCACTTTCTTCATGGTATCCTTTAAAAAGCATTTAAAAAAAAATTTGAAAAGTCTGTTTTTCTTTTTTTTTTCTGTTGTCATTTGTGGCTAGTATTGTATTTAAGAAGAGTTTTGTCAAATGCAAAGGCAAAGATTCACTTATCTTTTCTTCTAAGACTCATAGTTTTAGCTCTTCAATGTATGTCTCTGATCCATTTTGAGTTAATTTTGTATGTGGGGTAAGGGGGCGGGTCAGCCTCATTCTTTCGCATGTGACTCTCCAGTTGCCCCAGCACCTTTTTTGCCCCAGCACCAAACATTCTTCTTTGCCCATGACTTGACTTGGTAGACCCTTGAAAATCAATTGACCAATGTTGACTAAAAAAATAGTCACAACCTAAAAGTTGAGAGCTGTGTTTTATTTGGTGGAAATTTTTAAGACATAAATCCGGGAGGTAGCTTCTCAAGTAGCCTCGAGAGAACTCTTCCAAGAAGGCAGCGGGGAGGACTCAGGTGATGTAGAAGTTTGCAACAAAGGGCAGGTAGTCTGAACATCAAAAGTATTTTTGTGAATTAAAGAA